GCTCTTGGTCTATCTATGTACAGGTTCCTTATGATCACAATAAAGATCACACTTCATTGTGATCATGAGGAACCTGTACATAGTTTGTTATGATTCACACAGCTGAAAGTCTTTTCATAGTCAATAAAGCACAGGTAAACACCTTTCTAGTACTCTCTGTTTCCAGCCAGGATCTATATGACATCAGCAATGATATCCCTCATTCCACATCCGTGTCTGAATCTGGCCTGAACCTCTGGAAGTTCCCTGTCAATGTACTGTTGCAGCTGTTTTTGAATTCTCTTTAGTACAATGCTGAGCGTGTTCTTTCCTTTGGTTTCTAGCTCCAGGTCTGTGCACATTTCATTATGATATGTGACTTTGTCTTTTTAAGCTGCCCTTTGAAATTTTCTGTTCAGCTCTTTTACCTCCTTCTTTCTTCCATTTGCTTTAGCATTTCTTTGCTTGAAAACAAGTTTCAGAGTCTCTTCTGACATCTGTTTTGGTCATTTCCTTCTGTCTTATCTTTGTAATAGCCTTTTGTTTTCTGCCTGTACGATTTTCTTGATGTCATCCCACAACTCTTCTGGTCTTTGGTCATTAGCGTCTAATGCATCAAATCTGTTCTTAGATGCTCTCTCAATACAGGTGGGATATGTTCAAGGTCATATTTTGGCTATTGTGGACTTGTTTTCATTTTCTTCAGCTTCAGCCTGAACTTGCATCTAAGCAAATGATAGTCTGTTCCACAGTCTGCCCTGGCCTCATTTTACCTGATGAAATGAAGCCTTTCCATTGTCTTTTTCCATAGATGTAGTCAATTTGATTTCATTGCATTCTATCTGGTAAGGTCCATGTGTATAGTCATCATTTTTTGTTGTTTTTAAAAAGGTATTTGCCGTTGAATCAGTCATTGATCTTACAAAATTCTATCACGTGATCTCCAGCATAGTTTCTGTCACCAAGGTCATATCTTCCAACTATCGATCCTTCCTTTTTGTTTCCAAACTTTGCATTCCAATCACCAGTAATTATCAATATATATTGATTTCATGTTTGATCAATCTCAAACTGAAGAAGTTGGTAGAATTCTTCAATTTCATTATCACTGGCTCTATTGATCAGTGTATAAGTTTGAGTAATAGTGGTGTTAACTGGTTTTACTTGTAGGTGTATGGATACTATCCTATCACAGACAGCATTATATTTCAAGATAGATCTTGAAATATTCTTTTTTGATGATGAATGTGATGTCATTTGTCTCCAATTTGTCATGATTGTGAGATTCAATATGGCCAATACCAATCCATTTCAGCTCACCAATGCCTAGGCTATTGATTTTTATGTGTTCAAATTCATTTTTGTCAACTTCCAATTTTCCTAGATTCTTACTTCATATATTCCATGTTCCAATTATTAATGGATGTTTGCAACTGTTTCTCCTGGTTTTGAGTTGTGCCCCATCAGTAAATGAATGCCCCCAAAGCTTTACTCTATTGGCATCATCACATTCAGCTCCACTTTGAGAAGACAGCTCTTACTCAGTTTTATTTTGAGTAACTTCTAACCTGTGTGGCTCATCGTTCAGCACTGTATCTGACAATATCCTGGTGCCATTCATATGTTTCAATATTCTGGTGCTATCTGACAGTGTTCCACTGATACTCATAAATTTTTCCGTGACTAAACCTTCAGAAGTCGTCCGTCTCTCCTTCATCCTAGGCTGTCTTAGTCTGGTAGCTCAGCTGAATCCTATCCACCGTGGTTGACCCTGTTGGCATTTAAAACACCAGTGGCCTAGCTTCCAGCATCGCAACAACACACAAGCCACCACAGTATGACTAACTGACGGATGAATGATGGATAGAAGAGCACAGATAATACTAAAATATAGGCAATGATAAGTTTTGAATATTAACTTTGTTTTAAATACAATTTATTTATTTGTAAAGTCATATGATTTAACTTTTAATAGCAACTCTGTGTTTAACAGCCAGCTCACAAAATTCTGGAATCTTGAACACTTGGCTGCTCTTATTTGGAATGACCTGGATCTAGCACATCTTTGGACATGATTTCGTATTGTCCCCTCTTACAACTGATGCCTCTCATTTTGCCACCAAACCTTTGTTCCTTTGATACGTGGGACTACCTTTTTATACAAATTTCCATGGGCACACACACACACAGACATTATTCCCCTACAAAATCTATGAGTCAACCTCTCCTGCTCAGAGCTGATCATTGTCTCCCCAGTCACCCCAAGACACAGTCTCATGGAAACCTGGGAAGGCTTAGGCAAAAGAAAGAAAAAATCACAAAGGGAATACTTAAAGTGGAGAGGGCGGAAAACTGAAGGCAAGAAAAAGCAAAAGAAACAATAGAAGTGGGGAAGGGAACATAAGACAGACAAAAAGGCAAACAGACATGGGCAATATCATATTTAGTTCCCGCTCTATAACTGAAGTCAAAATTACAGAACATCAGGGAATTCAAATGTATGAGTTGCTTTTAGGCTTGCAAACTTCAACAGCCCAAACTCTAGCCTGAGAACTGCGGGTTAAGGCAGGAAACGGCTATATAAACAATCTGTTGCTTCGAGAGGTTTTTCTCAATGAGAAGAATGCCGTCTGAGATGTGGTCACCTGGGACACATGAGAGCTGGCGGTTCCAGATCTCCATCAGACAGCCTCCTAAGGAGTTTGGACGGCAACATGGCTTTTAATCTCAAAATGGCAGCTGGGAGATGTTAACACTTCTTCTCTAATTGGGATAGTATGCTTTTAAAATAAATAGGGATTTCAAATGATCTTAATTAGACTTCTAACCAAAGTGCTTTCTGTTTGAAGTTTGCTGATTAGTTCAGGCAAAGCTGGGCCCCAATGAACCTGGCACCTGCTGTAGTGTGGAAGAAGGCTCCCAGCGGGATTTTCTGAGGACTTCAGGAGACTCAGCTGCACCAGAGTGGTGTGTTCATGAAATGATGTGATCTGGGAAATGTCTGTGTGCCCAAATCCTGTGATTGAAAACATGCCGCCGCTCTCCAGAAGTCCAGAGAGGGTCTGCCCCAGATGGATGGATGAGCACCCAGGAAGGTTTGGGGGGCAGGGAGGACAAAGTGCTTCTTGTTCTGGAAGCCCTTGGAGATAGCTTCTCAATCATGAGCTAAACACTGACCCTGGAGTTACTTGGGTGATATTTTTCACAGTGTTGTTTCCATTCAACCAGCATCATGAAGGCAGAGGCGAAGACAGATGTTTAGGACATCATGGGCTGGCAGCATGGTAGCCCTTGGGGATGACTCCTCCTCTGTCGACCTGCCCAGAGTGAGTTGGTGGAGCCACTCAGAAGACAAGAAGAAGGTCACCTTGGCACAGCTTTCCAATAGAGGTCGTTTGCCCTTTCTGAGTCCGGCTGTCTAAGTTAAGACCCTGGGGGAGCCTGGCTCTAGCTAAGGAAGGCACTCAGTGGAGTTTCATTGTGCCTGAGTCTTTGGCAATGAAAGGGCAAACCTGGTGGGTTCACCACATCCCTCATTCACAGGCTGACAGTGGGAAGCCCAGTGCACCAGTCAGTATGTCTTAGTCTATGTTTCTGGTTATAGCAACAGATATTTTTATATGATCATTATTAGTATTGAAACAAAACAACCAACTTTGCTAATAACTCATGTTACTAGGGTGAAATGAGTCATCTTCAAGATATTAGGAAATCTCTTCCATTTCCCCACCCTAGGCCCTAGGTGTTGGCTTTCTCCAATTACTAGTCATTTCAGGGGGCAGACCATCTTATGGGGAACCTCTTTATTTGGTATATATGAGTTTCTTATTTAATCAGGGCTAGCTGGAGAAAAAAACGTTGTGTCCGTCCCTCCCAGGATGCCTGCTCCATCAGCCTTCCTAGGAGCTCTCCCAGGAGACTCCCTTGGACCACATATCAAATGGGGCCATTTTCTGCAGATGTTCACCTTTTAAAAGGAACCAAGGACCTCTTACAGCGTGACCATGCTGGTGTAGTGTTTGCATCCCGAAGATACTGAGGTGGGTCCATTACTGCTGAGAACAGTAGATAGCATACCTCTAGGAGAACCAAATGGAGCCCTGCTGCTGTAGCAAATTACACATTGGGCTGCTAACTGCAAGGTCAACAGTTCAAATCCACCTGTCACTCTGTGGGATAAATATGAAGCCTTCTGCTCCCATAAAGATTTACAGAAAGCTTACCATGAGTCAGAACACACTCGATGTCAGTGAGTGAGAGTGAGAGGGGAAACAAGTCTGCACTCAGAACTGGATTCAAGTTCCAGTTTCAACACTCACTAGCCATGTAACCTCGGTCAAGTCATTGAGTTGCTTCCATCTGGTAAACACATTTACCCCACAGGGCTGTCCCTGGTGGTTCAAATGGTTAACCCACTAGGCTGATAACTGAAAGGTTGGAGGTTTGACTCCACTCACAGGGACATCAGAAGAAAGGTGGTATAGTGATCTATTTCTGAAAAACCAGTCACTGGGAACCCTATAGAGCAAGGCTCTACTCTGACATGCATGGGTCACCATGAGTTGGGACTGACTCGTTGGTCACTTTTTCCCCATAGGGCTGTCATGAGGATCAAAAGATATGCTGTACAAAAGCAGCACGCGAACTCATTCAATAGACCACAGCAGCTGCTTTGTCACTGTCAAAATTAAGTTAGTTATCTTGAGACAGCACAGAGGGAGGCCAGGAAGGACTAGTGAGTTTAGGCTGTATGTGGGCTGGAAAAGCTCAGGAGGATGAGGAACCACCTGGAAAGGTGTGGTGCCAAGTCTGACAAGCAGCAGTGAAGAGCCAGGTTGGGGAAAATGGCCTCCCAGAGGTGGGTATCTACAGAAGTAGGCACGCACCGACAGCACACCCGACCTTCCTTCATCTTTCAAAGAGTTTTCAATGTATTGTTTTCCATCCAGGCTTGGGTTTCCAAGACCAGGCCAGCTTAGATCCCGTTCACCTTCTTCCTGCAGACTTCATTTTGTACTTACCTAGAGCTATCTGCTGCATATGTCGCTGGGTGATTTCTTCTTTTAGGTGGCCTGTCAAAAACACAGAGGAAAACCACCTGTCAGTTTCCAATGGGCTAGAGCGACACATCTGTCTCAGAAGCATGTGGCAAGCTGAAAAAATTAGGTAGAGTAACAGAGACAAAAGAGGGTATTACTCCAAGTGGATGAAGTGACTACAAGTGCACTTTGTAGGGGCCCAGGCACATCAGTGCAAGTATACATTTTGTCTTTGGATTAAACCGTCTTGGTCCCTCGGTCATTTTGTGTTTGTAGGTCCCTGAGTGGTACAAGTAGTTAAGCGCTTGACTATGAGCCCTAATAGTGAACCCACTCACAGGTGCCTTGGAAGACAGGCCTGGTGACCTGCTTGAAAGATAGTCTTGAAAATTCTGCAGTGGTCAGACCACACTGGTATTTGGTTCTAGGATCTATTCTTTACAGGGAACACTAGAAAAGGAGAAAAGGTTCAGGTGATGGTGACTGAGGTGGTCAGGGGTCTAGGGCATTTGAAAACTATTTGAGATGACCTAAGACATTTAAGGGTAGCATGGTGGTTCCATACAATAAGCACTGGTCTGAGAACCACAAGGTCTGAAGTTCAAGTCTGCCACAGCCACCCTGTAGGAGAAATATGAGGCTTACTGATCCCACAAAATTTAAGCCTCGGAAACCCTAAACAGGGTCGTTATGATTTGGAACCAACTACAGGACTGGGAGTCCTGGTGTGGCGCTGTGGGTTAATACACCAGACTGCAAGGCCATTTGAACTGCAAGGTTGGCGGTTCAAGCTCACCAGCTGCTCCTCGGAAACCCTACACAGGGTCACTATGGGTTGGGATCGACTCAACAGCACTTAACAACAATAACATATGACACTCAACAACAACAACAACAAGACATTTAAATGGAAAATAAAAGATTTGGAGGGAGAAGAGGTATAGGGATAAAGGCTGTCTTTAAATATCCAAAGACTTTCATTTGGACAAGCGATCAGACTTTTTTTCTCCTATGACAGGGGACAGAAGGCAAGTTCAATGAAGGCAGATCTGGAGCTCAATACAAGGAAGAAATGACACATAATGAGGATGGCCTCAGAATGGATTATGTTGTCTCAATGTGGACTCACTCTTATCAAAATGGAGCCCCTTCTTGAAAATACACAAGTAGAAGCTGGAGGATCATTTGTTGGGTTGTTAGAGTGAGAATTCCTGGCCTGTGTAGGAGTTGGGATGAAATGACCTTCCATCTTCTCCATTACTAAAATTCCATGATTCTGGGCTTGAGTGATGGGTGAAACAGCAGTCCTAAGGGTTTGTTTATGTCCAAAGACTCAGCCTACTTGTTAAAATGTCAGCCATCTGTAGCTCATGTTCTGGGGATGCCATCAAGTCACTGGGGGATTCCGAGAAGGCCTGGGAACTTCATTGCTCCCTTGTCTAATAAATTTCTTCCCTCACATGAAGTACATTCTGTGCTTCAGATGTTAGGGTTGAGCTGAGTCTACAAAAGATGAGTAGATCCTGGAGGGACACAGGAGATCTTGTCCCTCACAGAAAGTTCTAGGGCACTCCTAGAATGGTATGCTTGGAAGGGATGGCAGATGTCATTCAGTTAAACTTCTCCCCCACTTTAAGAATCTTTTCTAAATAATGAAATGGCCATTTCAGCTCACACTATTAGATTCATTATGTTATGTAAAAGGAATTACTTGAATGAGTTGAAATCTACTTTCCTCCCTGTAGCTTTCCATTATTGGGCCTGGTCTGTTCTGGAAGAGCACAGTGCAGGGTGCAGTGAGAACCCTACACACATCTGAGGACAGTACTATTTTTCCTCTTGGACTTATTTTAAGTCAAACATCACTGGTTCCTTCAGCTCCTCCTTGGAGGCCACTGTCTCCAGGCATGTCATTGTCCTGGGTGAGGTACCACACAGGTATGTACCTCACCTTCTCTGTGCTCCCACTGTAGATAGTATGTGTAGAGAGGAAGCAAGTTTAGGCATAAGCAATGAATTGCACCCTAATTCCAAGTGGGAAAGGGTCAGATTTAGAAAGGAGATTTGGGGAAGTGGAAACCTGGTCCAATGATGAGTACTGAGGAGCCTGCAGCCAACAGAAGAATCAGAACAGGGTCACCACAGTCCCAGATGGGCCCTGTCTCCCACTCTGAGCAACATGACCCCTACTGAGAAGTACAGATGTGAGGTAATGGGGCAGTGCTGGGCTGAGACTCCAGTGTATACCAAACACTGCTGCATAGCTTTAAGAATAAGCATGTACATACATTTGTTAAATAAAAGGAGCCACTGCTGTGACAAAGACAACGTATCATTTAGAAACATCTCTCAATTACAGTAATTGTTACGGTTTTTCTGATCTCCACAATATAGAAAGCCCATGATCCATTGGTGCGTTGTCTTTTTCCTGGGTGTCTGACACAGGTGCCTTACATCATGATCCCTTATCTGCTTGACAACCTTCTGAATAAGACTGGATGGTGACTTGCATTCCTCCCTGGAAAAGCACCTTTCCAACAGCTTATCTTCTTGATAACAAGGCTTCTTCACGACAAGCCTCCTCAACAATGTACCTTGCAGACTATATGCTTTATCGACTATAAGACTTTCTGACAAGGTAACATAACTCCTAGACAATGCACCTCCCAGACAATGTGCCTCATTCACAATGTGGCTTTCCAACAGCACACTTCCCTGACAATGTGACTCCTTGCAAATGAGCCTCCCCAACAATATGCTTGGCCCACAGTAGGTGCTTAACCTTGTACACCGTAACTTCCTTTGCTCCCATTGGACTGACCAGACTTCCTTTCCCCAAATCCTGGGAACCTTTTTGGAATGATAGGGTTAATGATTCTCCACAGACCCTGGCTTGGGATGAGCTGCTCAAATAAATAAAGAGGGAGATATAGCTACTAGGACTAAGAGTTCTCTAAACACCACAAACATAAACACTCATTCTAAGAACAATGAGGAATCCCTAGGGGACAAAGTAATGGGTCTTACATCTTGATGAAGTTAGTTTAAAAAAGTGTTTAGCAATGTTCCATTTTGGTTGAGCATTGACTAACATCTCCCATCAGATGACAATATATATATTTGATATCTCACCAAACAAGCTTCTAAAAATAGCCTATGGCCGGTACTTAATTGCATTTTCCAACAGAGCCATTCTTCATGTGAAGATAACAGGCCTCCTAATCTCTGGATCTGCAGCACCACAGGTTTTGGCAGAAGAAGGAGGTGAGGGGGACGGCAGAACTCACGCAGCATGCAGCTTGCTGTCATTAGCACGGTGATAAATTTGCTGGTTTTGGCCTGGGTTTCTGGACACATCCCCATCCAGAGGTATGGAAAAGAGATGAAACGGAAAGAGAGAACTCCCAGCCTGAGGCAGGAGACAGTCTGGGAGGGAGGCAGGGAGCCCAAATCAGGGTTGAAAACCAAGAGCGCAGGGGAGTGAAGGAAAACTCTGCTTGTAGGAGGATGCTGGTCATTTTCCTTCCAGTAATTTACAATAGTCCAGACTAGAAACACCCTTGCTCCTGTTCTGATTCATTAATTGATGGGGTTGGAGAGGTAGAAGGGGGGTAGATTGGACACAGTGAGTCTGCAACCACCTATGGGAAAGCCCCAGAGAAGATACATAACTATGAAAAACACTCACAGGCAGAGTAGGTGAGAGGGCTGGGAATGAGTGAGGGGGTGTGGAGAGACGCTGAGACCGGAAGTGGAGGTGGCACACGGTATGGTTTATAGCTTCTTTGTTACCAAGTAGTTTATGTGAAAAGTATTATCATCATGCAGTAGTGAAACCTAATTTTTATATTGATATTCAGTCTTTTGGATAAGAAAAATTTCCCTAAGCTTCAAATTTATTTGACATGCGTGTAAATTTAAGATTGCTTCCCCAGCAAAATCTGCTTAGTTGGTCCAGAGAAGGGTGACTCACTCATGACTTCTCTCTAGCATGGCTACCTGAAGCCTGCCCATGGAATTTCTCAGAGGCTTCTAATGGATGCTGTTTGTGTTTGGCGTCCTGATGTAGTGCTGTGGGATAAGCACTGGATTGCTAACCACAAGGTTGGCAGTTCAAACCCTCCAGCCACTCCTTGGAAGCTCTATACAGGGTTTCTATGAGTTGGAACTGACTCCACGGCACTTAACAACAACAACAATGTTGTTCTCAAGCAGTGTTTATTGCATGTTGACTATATGTTACTGAACTTAACCATGCACAGGACCAGTGTTACACAGATCTTGTGTTATACAGATAAGGTCATGGTGGGTCCGAGCTGACTTGATGGCAAATAACAATGACAACTACATGTCAAGCACCATGTTCTCTGTGCTTGAAGATATAAGACTCAGCAGAAGACTCCATCCTTGTCCTAGGGATTTAGCACAGTGTAGGCGTCAGCAAAAGGTGGACACTTATGACTGACTCTACTCATCTCTCATGGGTGGTTTGTGTTCCCGCTGAACCTAGGCTTGACTTTTCAACCCTGCATACTGGGCAGTCATAACCAGTCACTTGGAATTGGGCTTGACATGATGCTGATTTCTTTGCCATTTTGGTTATTCAAGTATGAGGGTAAAAATGATTAAATGTGGGAGCAGAGTTGAGTTTAAATTCCAACTCTACTATTTCCTAGTTGACTGGTTTACTTAACATTTCTAAGCTTAGAGTTTACCAGTTGAAAAATGGAAATAATAATATAACTGTTATAATATCTGCTTTACTACATCTTAAGATTCTTGGGAGGATCAAAGGTGAATGCATCGGCATATCTGATATACCAACTTAATTTGAGATATTATGGCACTTTCTGAGATATTGAAAGGATACAGCATGTATATTTGAAATGACATGGACTATTAGGAGTCCTGGTGTAGCACTGTAGGATAAGCACTGGACTGCTAACCATAAGGTCGGTGGTTCAAACCCAACCAGCACCTCCTCAGAAACCCTATACAGGGTCGCTATAAGTTGGAAGTGATTTGATGACACC